TTAGGAAGTTTCAGCTGAATCCAAGTTTGAGCGATTTTCGTCGTAGTAGCACTTTAAAGCTTAGGTTTCATAAGGTTTCACCTTGGGTTAAGTATCATGAAAACAAACGCTTGAAATCAAGGCTTTCGCAAACGATAAAGTAAACAAAGTAATTCTACTGCTCACTTCGTTAGACATCACTCTACCAAAATACATATTGCAAACTTGTGTGTTCACTGCTACCTTAAAAAGAAACAAATTAAAAGCCAATTACAATTCGGGATTCCTGTGGCAAACCTGATCTCGATATCCGGACATGTCTATAGTGACTTTAGATAACCATTGCGGTATAACAAAGCATTTGTCAAAGGAAAAATTGCCAATTAGCCATTCCAAGATTGAGGAAAAAGCTGGGTCAAGTTAATGATAATGATAATGATTTATGAATTCATATAGCGCTCTTTCTATATGAATAGAATCAAAGGCGCTTTACATTTAGTCGTGAATGACAGATTGCTTTTATTCAATTTACAAGCATGAGAGATGATTAGTATGAAGTGGAGGCCCTGAGGATAGTCACTGCCAGGGTTTCTTTACGTCCTCAGTGGTTCTTTTACGTCCCTCAGATGTTGGTTAGCAATGATGAATTGTGGAGAGACGGGACCGCCATTTAAAGTGGTCATCCGAGCCACTTGAAAGTCTAACCATTTGAGGATGTAATAACAAAGGCAGCACTTTCTCGATACTCAGTTATCCCAAGACCCTGAGTGTTGGTCCGGCCGGGACTCGAACCACGACCTTCCGCACGAAAGTCCGATGCTCAACCAACTGAGCCAACCGGTTGGCAGTAAGTTGGAATTTCAGTGCATTGTGGGACTTAGTAGTTGTCCAGAAGTTTGGAAAACGCTAATCCCAAGCAAAAGAAGAAGCTAGGGTTTACATATATGATAAATAGAGGATTCGGAAAAAAAGTAGACTGAAAGTTCACTCGACTAAAGGCATCTATTTTCATAGTAAGATTTAAATTTACTCTCCTGAAGGAAAATAAAAGAGTATACAGTAAACACATATAAGAACAAATGGATTAAGAACACCAGGCTGAAATTTGACCAATAAAACCCCATTTTTATAAGAACAAGATCAGCCTGAAAATTGTAACATGTTCTTGTAAAATGGAAAAAGTGTCATAATTACAAAACATGTAAGTTTATGTTTGCTGTCAGATAACTACTTTGGTATTAAGTATTATTTTCTACAAAAATTATCTAGTTCTGCAGTGCGAGAATTAAAACTACTTGGATAAAAATTGAATAAACACAGAATTGTATTGCAAAGCAAAAATGTAAGAACATTTTACAAAACATTTTAAGGCTGATTTGTTACGTTATACTAATTATTCTCATGAGGAAATACAAAATTTGAATAAGAAAAAAAATGCGATGCATTTTGGTAGAGGTAGTAAAATGACGTCATCATGCAAATGTCTTAGTGTTCAACTTTCACATTCTTGAGTTTTGCAAACTTATAGGAGGCTAAACCAGTGCAATAAAGTTTTTAGTTTTTCACAAATTCTTGGCAATATTTGATATATTGACAGTGCAGTGAAACTCTTTATGGGTTCATACGAGAAGGCTTTCTAATTTTCTTTGGACTTTAGAGTAGAATGCCTCTGGATCGTTTGGAAATAGCTGCTGGAAAATGAGTGCCCCACCTCTGTGGTGTGCACGTGTAAACTATTACTGGTCCCCAGCAAAAGATATTAACCATTCAGTATGATCAGGAAATGTACGTCGCCTTCTTCCTGCAGATCTAAAAGAGGTGTCAACAACATTCTCAATCTTTCCTCCCCTCTCCAAGATGGCCAGTGGTTTCTTTCTATACACATAAGGTGTTTTAAGCCATACAAAATCCTCAATATCTCGGATACGAACGTATCTTTCACCCCAGAATTTATCAAAAATGACATTTGCAACTTGCATCGGTTTTTGTTTATTTCTAAGATCTAAATCTAAAGGAATGTCGTTCTTTAAGATCTTGTAGTCAGAGAGAGAGAATGTATTTTGCTCTTGGGTACCTCGGTTGAACGATTCTTTCATCGCCTTTAACCCTTTGATGTGGCTTGTGGCAAAAATCAAATGGTACAGTCTCCTATTCCTTATGTCCTTCATTTCAAATGTAAGTGCATAGTCGCTACTTTCGCGGAGCTTTTCAACGTACAAGTCGGCCAAAGTATTCACAAAATCACTTTCGTCATCATTTCTAAAGGTCTCTAGTACATCGGGCTCCATCCCAAAAACCTCGCCTATTCTATCGCGATTCTGGGTGAAAAGCCTGTGCATGAAGGATGTCATAAGGTTGATGTAAAGTTCCTTGTGTTCTCCAACGAAATCGGAGACTCTTTGCCATGGAATCATTACAAATCCAAACGGGTCGATGAAGGTTACCATGCGTGTGTTATCGTGTAAAGCTGGTGCAGGAAAATCTTCAAACTTGCATTTACATATGTTACAACGAATAGGAAAATCCTCATCCATGCTTGAAACACACGCTCGGTTAGAGGCTGGTAATGATTTAATGACATTAATGCCATGAAAATTGAAAAACAATATTATGTTATCCACGAGAGATTCGTAGTTGTTTCGATTTTGTTCCACAAAATATAAATTGATTTTATACTCCCCCAGGAATGAGGTTTCGTCTTCGGTGTAATCTGGATTGGCATCAATAATTGGCTCGAAGTTATTTGGCAAGTTATTTCTGTGTACAAAATACCCGATTGCTGCTCGCAGTGCAATCAGTGGGGAACCATAATCTGTAAAGGTTGAGCTCCAATTATTGTCGTAAACTCCACGCCCTGCAAACACATCACATATAATGGTCTTGCCTACGCTTGTCGATTGTTGCGTCTTTGCGACAAAAGCCTGAAGGTATTTGAACCACATGACTCGTTTGACTTTACCATGAGGAGGATCGTTCTCAAAAAATGATTGAGCAGAAGTAGGCATGATTCCTATCAAAAAGCAAAACGTTAATATGCTATTAACTAGTGTAAATAATTAGAGTGCAAACAATGTAATAGAGTGTTACTTTTAATGTCTCATATAAAGAACCGTTTTGAAAACTGATTGATTAGCTCTGACGAATAGGCGACTTGCACTAAGAGGTCACGTAATCAAATCGGCCATTGTGGATGCATTCTACAGGAATTTATCTATGCGAGAATGTAAAAAATGGCGGATACAGGTAATTTGTTTAGAGAAAAAAGGTAGGTTGGCGCACTTAATAACGATAAAAATCCCTTTTTCTCGCAAGAAATATATTCTTAGTAGATATCTAAAGTAGGTGTTTGTAAATAACAAGCCAAGAAGAGAAAAAATATATTATTTTGGCGATGCTTCATACATAATCTTACTTCATATTCTCTTGATTCGTGCAGGTTATCACATTTTCCCCCGTGCGCATGATCTAATTTGACTGTAAGCTTTAGCCATTCTGACTGTAACTTAGGGGTAGCATGGGTGGCGTTCGCGGCTAACGCGTCGTCTTTCACCGTTGTGAATCCAACGGGTCGGGTCGCTGGTACGAGCCCTGCGGTCGTCACATGTGAATATATATGAGTTTGTTTGATGTGTTGTTCTCTCCTATGCTACGAGGGTTTTCTCCTGGTTCTCCGGTTTCCTCCCTCCATAAAAATCAACATATGAGTTGAGCGTTGTGTGCATAGAATATTAAATAAAGGTAGTGTTTGTGAGTGAAAAATGTGAAAGCGCTAGAACGACTAGACACTTAAATAAAAGTGATCTATTTATTTATGCAAATTTCAGCTATCAAAAACAGTTTTTGTAAAAACGTTTCTCATTGATTTTGCTGTTGTGAACATTACTATACTAAGTATCAAAACTTTGTTGTTTTTTAATGGTAAAACTAGAACGATGATGAACAAAATTTCAAAAATATTTGAGGATTTTGTTGTGTTTTTTGTTGGCTGAAGAACACACACTAAGTACGCCACGTCACCAAGACATGCTCATAGATGTTTTCTTGAGATTTTCGCTCTGTCTCCTAAAGGTTACTCCAATTTCCTCTTTAATTTTTTCATGTTTATTATTAAAAGGAAATCTTATGGTTTTCTCGTGCAACTAGTAGAACGGAACTCAGTTCGGGTTTTATCGGTGCCCCGCATTACTAAGTTCAAATATTTGTTCTATATACAATACACGAATGTAAAGAATTCAGTCCAATTTATGATTTTTGTGTAAAATGTCTTAAGCCCCGCTTTAAGCCCACCAAGCCAAATAAGTATATTCGCTGTGGTAAGAAGATGCAAATAGAAGATGACACGTCAGCACAGTGTTACGAGTGTGAAAAAAAATATCACAAACGCCGTACCAAATGGTACCAGAGAGCAATATTACGCCAATGGAGGTCGTAAGAAAACACCTTATAAGAGAATAAAATACTTTAGGGGCTGGATGAGTCACATCCAAGGTAATCGGCCCGTATATCTTGATGAGCAAGTAAAGAAGAAAATTATAGATCACTTAGAAGAGCCAACACCACAAGGTTTAAGAAGAACGCTGAAAAAAATGAAGCTAGGGAAATATTACAAAGGTATTCCCTACCTTTTGTCTGAAGTTACCGGTGACTCTATTCCCGAGGTTTCTGAAGATACTATGAGAAGAGCCGAGTGGATGTTTTGTCGGCTGGATAAGGATATTCCTTATTACCCTGACGTAATCTACGAAATATTCCACGAAATCAACCCCTGCCAAGATAATTAAGCCTGATCAGTAAGCGCACATATGATTGGCTGCAATTTACAAGCCAACCAATCAGAAATTGCGTACTATCGATCATATTTTCCTTCGTTCACAATGTTGTGAAAGCGCGCGTGTTGGCTTGGCTTGGCTTGGCTACGGTTTTCCAGCCTTTATTTAACGAAAAAAAACTTTTATTTTCCTTCTAAAATAAAATGAAAGACTTCAAGAAAGAAGGCGAAATATTACAAAACGAAGAAGATGAGTCAATAGTCTACGTTTTTGACCGCAGGGAAGGAAATAAGCCCGAACATCGCGTCCAACTTGGAGGAATTTTCAATTTTGCCGCCTTCAGAGAGAAAGTTTGCCAAGTGAGTTTACAAAGATATCAACATTTTTGAAAGTTTTGAGAACAGATTTACACACTGATAAGATAATTGGGATTTCTTCCTTGTATTTTTATTGACTTTTGAATTCTAGGTCCTCGAAATATCCTCTGAAGAAAAGTTTATTTTTGTCAATACGAACAGACAAGCAATCGAAGATGATAAAACATACGGTAAAGGATTCAACATTTTGATGCTAAAATATTTATTTTACGTCATTCCACGCTTATTCTTCTCTTCCGTTATCTTTAACAGAGGTTTAGAAAGACGTATTGATAAAGTAAATTACAATTGCATTAATAAAACTGTACTTGTGCTTTGCAGAGAGCCTAATCAATGACAGCGAAACCATCTATCTGCTTAAATCTGTTGATCAAGAACTCACAGCTCCTACACAAGAGCGAGTTGTATTCATCCCACATTATGATACTCTGGTTAAGAGTGGCATGTACGAGTACTATGCTAGCGAAGGCCAGAATCCACTTCGTAAGTACGAGATTAAAGGCCTTGGTAGTTTCATGCCAGTCTACAGATTAATTGAATTATGCATGAAATGAGTGAGACACTGTCTACTTCTGGAAGGCTGTCTTTTTTATAGCCGTTTTCTAATGTCTATGATAGCTATGAGTTCAAATATAACAAGCTTTTGGCAAGTATCATTATGAATCATTATGACCATTATGAATAGGCCATGCATTTATTTTGGGCTTTATGTTTTTCCATATTAGACCATATGCCATTCCCTTGAGTATTTTTCTTTTATTTACTGCTAATGCTCAAGAAGAAGTGAATGAAATTTTGTCACCATCACCCCGCCCCGCCCCCCCATCCTAAGGATAAAACACATTCATACCTTGTACCTAGGTATGAAGATGGAAATCAATTTTTTAAGATTGATTTGCTATTTCCAGGTTAACCTATTATGGTTTAATTTGTTTTGTTATAGCATTTGCATTTGCAGAACTTGTAGACAATGCATTAGCAGCTACAGCTGGCAATGAAGGAGCTAGATCCATAGAAGTCAGACTAGTAAGATCATATATTATTATTCTTCTAAGAGTTGTCCATATTGATATTATTTACTACTGTCTTCATTAATGCTACGACTGATCTTAAAGACAAAATTTGTGACTGGGAAATTGACCAATTTCACTTGGGCATAATGTTTTCCCATTTCAGACCACCTGCCTTTTTCTCAAGTATCATTACTTTCTTTAAAGGTTGCACATGAGAAGACACATGAATATAAATACAACTCAAATAAAGAATCTTATTCTGGAGGAAATGACATGTGATCTGAAATGCGAAGAACATAATGCCCAAGTGGATTTGGGCTATTGGACAATAGACTGTCTTTAATCAAATATTAGTCAATAACCATTAGTGAAAGTAGTTTCCCACATACTAAATTGATTTGCAGGTGTGTTAAAGATATGGGCAACAAAATGGCTCAACTTGTCAAACGTAACATTAATGCATTTGAAGTTGCAGAGTAAAATTAATGTTGCTCATATTACGAGTCTGCATATAACCAGTTTTCAATGTTGTAACAAGTAGCTGAAAGAGTTCTGTGCGGAGTGGCAATACAAGCAATGTAACAAAGCTGCACAACAGGTTGCACAACATAAAAACAAATAAAATATTGAAATAAAAATTATTTATTTTACTTAATGTCTATGTTTTGTTCTTCAGATGTTTGATGATGCTACTGGTAGACATGCTGTATGTGTTATGGATAATGGAGGTGGCATGACCCCACGTGAGCTCAATAACTGGGCAATCTATCGCTTATCTAAATTTAACAGGTATCACTTTGAGCAAACTTTGAGCTATCCATGCTCATAATCTAACATGCTTGCTGAACTCTGTTTATATTCATATGAAAGTTCTCAGTTATCCAGTTATCCAATTACAACATATTAAATACAAAAAATAAATTGCACCCAAGAAACTGCACCCAACATAGTCTTTGTCAGCCAACTAATGTTTGGACGTTGTTATATGACAAAGACTGTACCCAGCAGGCATTCCTCCCTGTTTGACATCCAACCATCAATTGCCTGATGAAGACCAAGGGTACGATACTGGGTGCAAGATATAGCTATTGAAAAACTGTTTCCAGTAAGCAATTTATTTTTTTACTTAACATTGTTAATATTCCTACACAGTGCCAAAACAAACAAAAAGCCTCCAGTAGATGATGATGTCCCTCGTTCACTGAATAGTGATATATCATACTTTGGTGTTGGTGGAAAACAAGCAATCTTTTTTATCGGAAGTGCAACAAGGGTAAGTGAAGTCTTGTCAATAAGATCAAATCTTAAGTAAACATATTTGTTTAGCCTTTTGTAGAGAATTGGGATCCTTCATTTTTTACTAATAAGTTTACGTGGATTGATTTTATTTTAATATTAGATGGTTACAAAAACCAAAGACTGCAATGATGTACACGAACTATCAATCTCAAAAGAAGAATTCGAAAGAAAAGAAAAAAACAAAGAATCAATTTACAGTGGTACAATTAGAAACAGAAGAGTAAGTAAACTTTACCTCATTGAGCAACAAAATCAGTCAATTAAAGTTCTAGAAAACATAAAGACTACTGCAAAAATATATATCGACCTCATACCCAGAGCCTGCGTTTCTTATGGCCTACAGCGAAGAGCGGGGGCTCTGGCATAAGGTATTTTTTTTGAGACCAGGATTTCTTGGACTTCTGGTATAAGAGTGCATGTGTTAAAAGACTTGCAAAAATAAATAAATAATGTTTCCAATTTTTAATTTGTATTTGTATTGGAAGTAAACACAGAATTCTGTTTGAAAGCATGATTTTCATTGATTATATTTCACTTCCAAAAAATTGACTGTGCATGCGCCAAAAAAATGGATTATGGCAAAGCCCCTGGTTCTTCACCACAGGCCAGAAGAAATGCAGGCTCTGGGTATGAGATTAAAAAATATATATATTATTGAATAAGTATTATGTAGATGTGTAGGGTGGTGAAAGTAGCTTGTGCTTTGGAGTTAGCCAGCCTTAATGATATTTTATGAGAAAATGAAAGCAAGTGTTTCTTTGTGCTCTTATTCTATTAGCCAGGAGACAACAGCCATGTACCAGAGGAAGAGGACAGTGTGAGAAGACTAATAAAAGAAGAGGTTGATAGAGAAAGTTTTACTGCTGTGGTCATTACAGGTGTTTCCTCTCAGCACAGTCAGTATCTCAAAACACAGTTCAACCAGTGGTGCCGACAACTAGCGTAAGTCCAGAGTACAATTCAGAGTACCATTCAGAATTGATAGATATGAGGGATGGATACAGAATAATCATCATTTGCATTCCACCATGACATGGATTTTTAGTTGGAGTTTCTCTAGATCTTGCATGTATTTGATGACATCAAATAAACATCTGCAGAGCTGCCCACCTTACCTTATTCTCCGGGCACTTCACATCCTATCCCTGAACAGTATGATATCCTGGGGATTTGGATTTAATATGAATCATCTCCTTTGAGAAAGGTATAAATATTTCTTCATATTGACCTCAAGTGTCTTATTAATACCTTTTAATGCTCTAATCATTCAGGCATATCTATCACTATTACCTGCATGGTCCTAGGGGAAATGAGGTCAAGGCAGATAAAGATGTCGACAAATTCAAGAACATTGATATCAATGTAAGTATCAATTGTCTCAACATGATTAATTTACCTATTAGAGATTGCACAGTGAAAACCAAATTTGGGATGAAGATCATAGTTAAATTGTCAGCAGTATATAAAGAACACGACAAGCTATTGGAATGTCTGAATTCGCAGAATATTAAATTAGAATCATGCATTAATTAATAAATGACTTTTATTCCCAGTATAAGTAAAGTTCATATTTGTGGATGAGAAATAATTCTATATGTTGTTATATAAAGTACAATATTCTAAACAAGCGATGTTTTTCTTCAATACAAATTAAATTTCAGATTGTACTCCAAGAAAAGGGAAAGCAGCCCAAGGGAAAGGCACTTCGTACTGTGGATGACGACTTACAAACCCAGTACATCAGAACATCAGCGTCAACTTTTGAATTCCGAGCTCATGTGGAAAATGCAGGCTGCATAGAAGGAGTGCTGCGCTATCATCCTTTTCTTTATGACAGAGAAACTTATCCAATGAATGAGTCTGAAATGAAAGGTATGACTCCAGTAGAACTTGTGTAGAATGTGAGGAAAACTTTGACTTGTTCTATATTATGGTTACATAGGTTACATAAACAAGGCTAAGAGTAACAGCTGCTCAATAGCTGGACACTGATCAATGTGTGGTCAGACAATGGATATAGCCTAAGATGACGCTAAGCCAGACAATTGCCAATTTGGCCAGACTTTGTCTGTTGAATGGTCCTTGCTTGTACAGTATTGTTGATCAGAAGAGCAAGATTAAGGCTTGTGTCATTTTTCACTGGTTTTCATTCACTTCCATGAGAAAAATATAACAAAAGACATGGCAGCCATGTTGGATGACATCATAAAAGAGATTAGTGTTAACAAATCTTTTGTCAAATTTATCCAGCATGACAGTCATGATAGTGATAACCATGTAGCCAAACATGAAAACGTTTTTGAGGGAATAAGGTTAAATAATAATGTAATTATTTCTTCAATTGTAGCCCCTAGCTTCTGAAAGGCTGAAGTGCCAAAATACCAAAAATAATAACTTATTCCTTATCCCATCTTTTTGCGAATAAACCTTTTATTCCAGTTGAGGAGGTGAATGCAAGTGTGGCAGCAGATGATGCAATGGATGCACTAGAAAAAGACAGCCATGCACCTAGAGGTTACAGGCCCATATTTGAATGTTACTGGAATGGTAGACTTATTCCATACACAGCCGTTGATTCGTAAGTAATAACATTATATGATAGACCTAATCCAATGTTTACCCATTTCAGACCACATGTCATTCCTAGAGTATGATTTCTTTTCTTATTGATTGCGCACAAGAAAACACATGAATACCACAGCTGGATTTGGTCCATAATATGCCTGTAGACAGAAAAATTAATACAGCATGTTTGTTATGATATTCTGATTTTTGAGGGAACTTGATTGGACTTATCATTTTGGTATCAAAGTTGAGTGGCACTCTATATATCATAGAATATACTATTAGGTTTTTATTTGTTAGTGTTATTAATAAAAATTAAAAAAAATAGTAAACATAAATGGTGTGTGTGGGCTACCTGTGGATGAGATACCACAGGCACCCCACACTGCTGCAAATATTTAAATATGCTGACAACAAGTAAATTGATTCTGTTGGTTTTCAACTGTCAGGCTGGAATGGTGTCAACCACCCAAGAAAAGGACCATTATACCCTCAGAGTGCTATAACAGGTAAAAAAACTTGTCATTTATTGGGTTGTAATTTGCCAAGGAGAAGGTGGGGCATCTTAAAGGGATATGTTTTGCTTACTTTACATACATCATTTTTCTTGATTCTTGCTTTCCAAGTGGATTTTTAGAGAGCGTTGGAACCTCTAAGGGGTAGGGTGGATACTGGCACTAGAGAAACTTAAATTACATCCACTAACTTTAATTTTTTTTTTTTTTACATGCCTATAGTAATTTATAACAATTTTGCTCAGGTTTTCTGGTGTCCTTTGGACTAATGATGCATTCCAAGTCAGCACCAACAAACTTACTTTTATGGATCTTGAAGTGAAGCTCAAGGACAAAAATACAATTTTTAATCGAGTCGTGAGTTCACAGGTACTTCTGATGATAAAATTCTAAATATATCAAATTGAGTTCGGCTTGCATGAAAAATATTGTAAATTATATAAATTTGTTTATCCAACCTCTCTGTCATGCATTCAGTCACCGCTTGTGTTGGTTGGACAAGTTCTAACCCTTAACCCATTTTATCTTTAATTGATACATCTAATAATAATTGCCTGGGAAGAAAGATCATTATGATGGGAATAGAGGGAATGATTTGTTCTAGTGTAGGAAAAATGTCCAAGCTAAAATGGTTTGTTGATCATCTTTGCATTCATCCATCCCATTTCCATAATTTTAACCATTCGTCCATCCAGTCCTTCCATCGATCTTATGTTCATACCATCCAACCATTTATCCCATTCTTTCTTTCATCCAGCCACACATCTCATTCTTCAATCTATCCCGTCTATCAAATTATATCGATCTATGTCTCCTATCCCATCAAATAATCCATTTATCCTTCCAATTCCTCCTTACTTCCATCCAACTATCTTTGCAATAAAACTATTGATCTCATTCATTTTATACATCTCGTCACATCATCCATCCCATTCCTCCTTCCATCCAACTGTCCCTGACATCTAATCATTCTTTTCCTCCATTTCATACATCCCATCACATCCATTCCTCTTTCCATCCAACCATCCCTGCTATCCAATCATTCTTTTTCTTCATTTCATACATCTTGTCACATCCATCCCATTCCTCCTTCCTTCCAACCATCCCTGCTATCCATTCATTCTTCTCATCCATTTTATACATCCCATCCCATCACATCCATCCATCCCATTAATGCTTCAATCCCTTGCCATCCAATTATTGTTTTCATCCATTTTATACATCCCATCGTATCCATCCCATTCATCCTTCCATCCAACTTCCATCACATTATTTATGTGTCCTTCCCCAAACATGCAGTCAGTCAAATTGTCAGCAATTAAAGGGTTTTATTATCACATAATATTAAACTTTCTTCTCATTGAACAAACACAAAGGCCAAACCAAATGGGTGTTATTCATCAAGTTCTTCTTATGGTATTGGGCTCAAGGTACCTGCATTTTAACATGTGGTATTATAAAGGAATACCACTTACTGCAAGGACAATATACAAAAGAGTTATTTGACATTCACATTCTCTGTAGAACCAGCAACAGCACTTACTCTACTTATTATAATTGTCCCAAAGTATTTAATCTTAAAGCACTTAATATTTGGCTTAATTTCTAACATTTGTTTCTACTTCATTTATTTCAAAACTACTTGTTAATAGACATAATCCACTGTTTTCCCATTTCATACCATGTGTCATTCCCTAGAGTATTTGAAGCTGAAGCTGTAATTATGGAAATCACTTTCTTACTGTCTTTTTTCATGCACTACAGCCAGTCATGTTTTATCAGTGAACAGAACATAGCTAAGCCTGATCTACAGTTTACATTAAGTTTACAACAAACAGTAGAACAAGCCATTGCCAGAATAACTTTCTAGTCATTTTCCTTGGTACTTGGTTCTTTAGTTTGAACAAGTCAAGTATTAGTTAAGTACTATTAATAATTATTGTTTGAATTCATAGGAACAAAGAGTTCAGATTTCAAAAGCCTTCCATGACTGGATTAAGGAATGCCATGAAAACCATGATAAACAGGTTAACTTCCCTCTTTTTCTTCCAATTGAAATTATTATTTTTCATAGAATAGAGGTTTTGCATTATCACATGCTGGCAGCCATGTTAGATGGCAGAACAATAAAATCCATGTGCTCTCAGGAAGTGAATTCCTTTCTTGTGTAAAGCAATCAAATTGTTCCTGCCATCATATGATGGTGGGAAACCTTTATCTCAATGACGAATCGGTCTCTCTTCATTGATTCCATTGTTTACTTAGAATACAGGACGTACAGCAAAGTATGAACGAGTTAAAACTAATTTGTAATAATGACCCTCAACTAACCAGCCATTATTTAAGCCCCGATACGAACCCACCCCTCAAGCATAACCCCCCCCCCCCCCCACACACACACACACACACACATTATACTTACCATCTTCTGAAAATAACATGAGTAAGGTATTGATTTGATGATTCATGGAACACTTGACATTTCACCCCGCCATTATTTAAAGATATGATTTTGTTTGATGTTTGTAGATAAAGTTTTCAAACTTCCAAGGACAAGTGAAGAGACCAGAATTGACCCAGAAGAAAAACCAAAGCCCTTGGTCAGTGTTCAATGCCATTGAGTGGGATGGTAAAGTGTTCAAAGCTGGACAACTGGTTAGTGGAGAACTGACTTTGATTAAACTGTTGAAAAATATTAGAGAAAATATTGTTTGATGGATGTCTGTCTGTCTGTCAGTCAGTACATCAGTCTGTGGATTGGTCAGTTAGTCTGTCAGTTGGTAAGCTGTTGGTTGGTCAGTCTGTGGGTTGGTCAGTCTGTGGGTTGGTCAGTCTGTGGGTTGGTCAGTCTGTCTGTTTGTCAGTCTGTTGGTTGGTCAGTCTGTCGGTTGGTCAGTCTGTCGGTTGGTCAGTCTGTCAGTTGGTCAGTCTGTCGGTTGGTCAGTCTGTCGGTTGGTCAGTCTGTTGGTTGGTCAGTCTGTTGGTTGGTCAGTCTGTCGGTTGGTCAGTCTGTCAGTTGGTCAGTCTGTCAGTTGGTCAGTCTGTCGGTTGGTCAGCCTGTTGGTTGGTCATTCTGGTCAGATACCGTACAGTCAGTTGTCAGTCAGTACATGTATAAACTATATTAATGTTGTGTTTTTCTTGTCAGATAAGAACCATAAGGACTATTCCCTATATCTGTGGTACAGTTAAAAGGTTCTTGTTATTTGGTGACTTTGAAGGAGATGTCTTTGCTACTGGAGGAGAAATGGAGATTGTACAGGTATCTTACTTTAGTCTCTAGCTTATTGCTTTTAATTCTCAATCATTAGATGAAGGTACACACTAGTCTTATGGCTCCTATCATTGTAGACAAGTTATCTATGAAGTGACCTTGTCCAGTTTTATTACAGCTTTCACTTTCTATTTCACTTTTGAAATTTTAAATTAAGGAAGATTGGATGACCTCATTGTTAGGGTCGAGGGAGTGAATTTTGAGTGGAGTTCAAGAGGCTCTGCCGTATAATAACCCCTAATTTAGCCCCACAATGGAGTGCACATTATTGTTGTCATTCTTTTTTTGGACATTGATAGCAGAATATAGAATTTTGAGATTAGCTGGGTGCCTATATTTTTTAACTTGTTTTTGGCTAGGAACCAGTGTCTTTGTATGGAGAGAACAAAGTTTTCCCTTTAGCCAAGCTAGACAGAACTTTGACAACAGCACAGGTGAAGAAATTTGTAGAAGAGGAAGAAAGCAAGTAAGTTGATTTGACAATAATTATAAAACCATAAAATTTGATTAACCCAAACCTGATTTATGTATAATATATATTACAAGGTTTGTGCTACTCCTTAAACTCGGACCTTGAAAACTCATTTAATTTAATTTTCGTTTTCAAGGGCACTTGAAAAGCTCTTGAATGTTACSATTTTAGCAAAACTCCTTGAAAACTCCTTGAATGTTTGCTTTGATCATTACTTGCATGGTTCTGAAATAGATCTAGTCAGAAAGATTGGAAAATCTGAAAGTCAGCCATGTGCAACCACCGTGTAAAACCATGGCATAGTTAGCTGAACATACACCTTGAAAATTCATTTTTGGGTCCTTGTATACTCCTTGAATAGTGCTTGAATTTTAAGTGGTTACCTCAGCACGAACCCTGATATTATATTTTGACATTTTAAAAACAGATTGCCAAGTCGTTTAGTGATTGCCTGGCCAGAAGGAAACAAGCTTGATAATAATTCTAAAATACCAGCTGGAACAACAATAGGTACTAAATAACTAACATTATAGATATTAATCATAATCTCTTATTTTGGCGGCTTTTGCTGATTTGGGCCTGCTTTCTCTCACACTCACTACAACTACATTTACTATTTTATGCACATAACATTCAACACACATATTGATTTTTACAGAGGGAGAAAAACTGAAAAACCTGAAGAAAAAACTCTCACTGCATGGGAGAAAATAACACATCAAATAAACTCAATTCACATGTTGCATCCAAAGGGCTCTAACCAGCAGTCCGACCTGTTGGACTCACAGYGGTGAAAGGCAAAGCATTAAAAGTAGCATATGCCACCCAAAAGACACCCGTGCCACCCAATATCGAAAATAAATGTGAGACTTGATTGCCGGTATATTTGCATTCTTTTTTCTCAGGTGCAATGAAGGTAGATATAGTGAACGGCAAGAATGAACCTATTAACAAACTGCCTGGAGATAGAAGAAAACTGCTTGTTGAGCTAAAAGTCATCTGGCATGGTAATATAGATTGCTGTTATTAGTGAAGCCTGCAAACCCGGGGGGGGGGGGGTACTCTTGCCCGTTTAGGGTAGAGATGTGCCGCTGAGCCCACTGAACCCTGACCCGGTTTCAGAGCAAAATCACTGAAAATTAGTATACCCTGCTAACTCAATAAAAAATAACATTAGTCCTCATTCAATGTATTCTATGGATGATGATGCGTAGCTTTTAGTGATATGTTGATAATAAGAATGTTGTGATAGAGGTGTGATGTTTATTTAGTAGTTTTTAGAGTGTCTTTATTTCTGTTCATAGGTTCAGATAAAGAAGGTGATAAAGTGATAACAAACCTTGTTTGCCAACATGGAGGCAAAAACTGGCCATACTGGTTCAGAAAGATGGGTTGGTATCTTTCCTCACACTATCCACTTGAATAAGACTAAAATAACGTAACCATTCTGACTGTCTTTCAGAACATTATTGCAATTTTCAATATTATGTGAAATCAAGTTGTGTCTTGCAATTTAGTTTTTCATTGTTACTAGTAGAAAATGAGAAAGTTACTGACTAATTATTTTTGGTTGATGTCAGCGAAAAAATAAATCTCCGCACGCAGCTTACAGATACAAGTTTGCATGATATTGAAAATGCTCTAATGTTTCAACAGTTTGTTAAAAAACATTTATGCTGTAATTGGGTTGAGTAACTGTTGTTGATTTGTACAGAAAATATCACCCAGCTTGGTCCACATTCATTAGCTCTACAAGTCATTGTGAGTGAGAGTTCAACAGTCCAAGCCATGAAAGGATTGCCATCAAATCGCATAAAGTTTACTGTTACAGGTATTAGCATTAGCATTAGCTTAGCATCAGCATTAGCATTTAACATTTTATTATAGTAATTAAAACGTGATCCTGGCTGTTCTTAGCCTAGTAGTTTCCATAAAGCAATACTTATATTTACAATAACTTACCAATTTCTCGCGCACTGATTGGTTATTTTTTATCATCAATRAGAGGACAGACAGATAAAGCTGATGTCAAGCGCGCGCTCTTTCCACTGGTTGTTTTGATTGCTTAAAAATGAAAAGTTTTTATGGTTTTTGTTATCGTAAAAAACAAATAGACATCAGATTTTTATGTGTATGTCCTCTTACTGACGATAATTTGTGTCATCACATTGTCAAAGTAGTGTGGTGATGTCAATTTGTTAATCCTCTGGGCCTGGTTGTATGAAGGGTCAATAGTACTATCCAGTAGATGAGTCCATGCTTCTGACAGTGCTATCCACCCTCCATTCAACTGGACCCTAATTAAAACTAGTTTTATACGTGCTATATATCATCCCGACTAAACAAATAACAAATTGTCTTTCATTCATCAGAGGCTAAACCAGACAAGTTTACATTTGGTATGCTGGACATTCCATTGAGAGTTGGATTACCATTCCAGGTAAAAAAAGCCTATAGATTTGGAGTAGACGGTTATTATTTCCATACTTTATATGGCTTAAATACAATATWTTTTTTTCCAGATTCCTCTGAATCTCTTTGATGAATTTAACAACCCCTCAAAGTTCTCTCAAGATATTTTACCAGTGCTCAGTGCAAGGTTTGTTATCTGTCAATATATTTTGAAACTGTTATAGTGGGCTTCCTCTGCCAAAGACTTCCACAGGTAGCCCATCATTTAGCTAGTGAGCACTTGTTAGCTCTAATCTCTGAAATCGTTGAACTCCATGTCAATCGTTGTCATTTCAGTGGCCTTGAATTGAGTTTTAGTGGTACTTCATCTAAAGGCAACAGTCTGATAATCAAAGGTGTGGTTGCTGTGGGAACCATTCCTTCACATGCAGGCAAGGTAAGATAAGGCAATATATTAAACATTTTCTAACATTATTATATTTTCTGCTCTCCAGTTTGATATCAAAAAGAAAAGAGATGGGCATCCAAGACTTTTCCAACCCTATCCTCCTATTGTTGGTTTTGATCATGTACCCCCTACCCACTTTGTTCCTCTCCTCTCTTCTCTTCTCCTTGTCTCTTCCTTCCCTCCCTCCTCCACTCATCTTTTCTTCTTCCTCCTTCTTTCATACCCTTTCTATAAAAAGTCTTTCAGTAACACTTCTAAACAATGAATAGATATTGATTACATTGTATTTTTTAAAGGATTTCAATCTAAAGGTAACTTTACCTGGACTTGAAGAAGATTCTCAAAGCTTAAAAATAAGACTTCTTCCTGGTAAGCCTTTTTCCTGGTAATTTGACTAGAATATATCATTGTATGTAAATCTGTCTTGATTGCATGACAAGAACAAGTGCATGCAGTCCTTCCTTGATTCTGGCCAAATCTTTCTACTCCTCAATTAAAAAAGTCAATATAAGCAGCTCAATATGTAATGGGGAGTTTGCATGTCTAACATTTAAATTATTTATAATACAATCAACAAAATTACTCAATTCTTATTGGACAAGAGGAGTACAAGTAAATCCCAAATAATTGTACTCTGTGTAGAGTCCCAATTAAGTTGCCCAATTTTGTTGAGTGTATTATAAACTATATCTCAAATCAACCCTAAGTAATTCAAACTGGTTAGAGCTGTGCTCCTGGGACTGTCTAGCGGCTGCCAGTTGGCGCCTTCACATGCTTTCAGTTCGACCCTGTTGAGCTGCACCACTGCTGTACTTGTGGTGGTGATTAGAGATGACAAGTTTTTTCTTTAAACAAAAAAATCACACAATCTTCTTGTACAATAATTCAGAATTCATAGATACTCATGATGTTTTGAAATTTCTCAAAATTAATTGGAAACTTTCAAAATGTTACTTATACCTATAAATTCCAAATTGTACTCTAGATCTTGCGATTTCTTATGCTAATACAAGACCAACAAAATTATCAATACTCAAAAGAGCATTTTAAAATTAGTAAAATGAAGCATTTGAAGAAAATTACCCACAAATAGGACCCAAGTTAGTGAAAACCAAAGATTGCCAATTATAGGGATTGTTAGTTGTAGGAAAAGCTGTTGCCCACCAACATATGAACTCATACATGGGTAGCATGGGTGGCGTTCGCGGCTAACGCGTCGTCTTTCACCACTGTGAGTCCAACGGGTCGGGTCGCTGGTTYGAGCCCTGCGGTCGCCACATGTGAATTGAGTTTGTTTGATGTGTTATTCTCTCCTATGCTACGAGGGTTTTCTCCGGGTTCTCCGGTTTCCTCCCTCCATAAAAATCAACATGTGAGTTGAGCGTTGTGTGCATAGAACATTAAATGTAGTGGTAGTGCGTGTGAGTGAAAAGTGTCCCCAATTAGTGCGAAAGCGCTAGAACGACTAGACACTTAAATAAAAGTGATTTATTTTTTTATTTTTTTTATACAAAATGTGCAATTTTTGGACTTCAATAGAGTGTGTGCAACCATGTGACTCAAAATCCCTTGAGATATGAATAACAATGAAACAGCTGCCATCTTGGTTGATCTAGCAGGAGAAGCTAATGAGGAATGCTTTGTTATCATCAATCAAGATGGCGGCAATCCATTACATGCAACTGCTCTATAACTTTTTTCATTTATATACTTATTTCAATAAAGTTAGTCACCAAAAACCTAGAAATCTGTGATCGCTGAGAGTCGTGGGAAATATTTTATATCCAACAAGTAAAGCTTTTGACACAAACTGCAGCAGTTGAGGATGCTCGGAGGAAGTTAACTTGTATCTGGTAAAAAATCTCTAGTCCATCAACAGTTATGAAGCAGTTGAAACATGTAAAATGTATCTATCCATAATCCTTGTCAGTCTCAGCTATGAAGCTTTTCAGGTGTGACTAACTTTATTGAAATAAGTGTATGCTGAATTTATTTCAAACTTCTAACTTTTGCTAACTTTAACACACTCTTTCAAATCATGAATTTTTTGTTAGTTTTGGATAGATAATGCAAATTCCTTATTCTTGCTTTGCTTAGTATTTACCATTGTGCATGGTTTATTTTCAGGTCCTCCATATAAATTGGTCGCAACTCCAGCAGAACCTGAAATTACTATAGAAAATGGTAATCAATTGCAACTTAATGTTCAAGTGCAGGATAAGGCTGGTAATGTCACAGTTAACCCAAGACTCAACGTAGTATGCAAGGTAATAATCAACTTATTAACTTCCGTTCATTTTCATTCATTCATCCATCCATTCATTCATTTTCATTTCATTTTCTTTATCCTATGTGATTCACCTAAGTGCCTATGGCAATAACTTCCCATTAGTCTTTTTTCATTCATTTCCATTCATTTACTTTTCCCATCAGTAAGGGGCACTCCAAGGCACTTCATTTGTTTCTGTTCATTTATTTTTTCATATTCTTTTCCCCATCTTATTCAGCTAATTGCCCAATCCAAGTATCCAATCCAAGACAACTCCCTAACTCCATTCCTTCCCATTCATTCATTCATTTCTTTTTCTTTTCCCATCAGCTAATTGACCATGGTAATAACTATTCACTGTCTTCCATTTCTTTCCATTCATCCATTCATTTTCTCTTTCTCATCAATTTGTATCCAATCCATGACATCTCTGTCTTCCATTTCTTCCCATTCATCCATTCATTTCTTTTTCTTTTCCCATCAGCTAAGTTCCCAACCAAATCTCCCCACATATACTGGTGATTGCAGTTCTTCTGGCAAATGTTCCCTAACTGGACCTGACATCTCTCTCAGACTTCACRATAACAAAGCCATGAAAATCAAAGCTAAAATAGAACTACAGCATCATAAAGAGGTGGCCCCAATTGAGAAGACAGTAATTGTGACTCCCAGTACAAATGCCGGACAAATAATAGTCTTCCATCAGGCATCTGGATCTAAACAGAAGTTAAAGCTTGAAGATGGACAAGATTTGTCATGTGTGGTTGGGAGCACTATCACAGGGCTAAGTAAGTAAAAGACACTGAATATTTTGTTGATTCTTCAATTTATAATAATAATGATAATGATAATAATAATGATGATAATAATAATAATGATGATAATAATAATAATGATAATAATAATGATAATAATAATAATAANTGTGTGTGTGTGTGTGTGTGTGGGATTCTAACCAATTTCTTATCTAATTGTACAGAAACTGGTAGCGAGGATTTTGATAATTTCCTGGACTTACTTGGTGATAGAATCCCTTTACGGGGCTGGCAGGGATACCGTGGTGGACTCGATGTTAAAAGTAAGTCATTATATAGACCAAGCACGACGTTCTTGCTAGGTACCGCAAACCTCAAACTGCAGTCCGACGTCAGGCGTTTTACTTCAAACTTTCGACATTTAGTAAGGCGTCATAACAAAGTTGTTGCTGGAAGAGCCGCCATTTTGAATTTCATTGATGTATTTCCCCGTGTGTGTGGGCGTGATTCTGGGATTGATTCCTAGCGGTTTTAGTGGTTAGCCCTAAACTTGATGCTAAAGATCTCTAATTAATCAGGGTTAGCCTTATTTTAGCGATAGTATTTATGAACAATAGAGTAAAGACTCAGAATTTTTACTGAGTCTTTCAAGTTGCAGCTGCTTAAGTTGCTTCATATAATGCGAGGATCAGCTCAATTTGATACATTCAACCGCAGACTAAATATATATTTCATATAATATACACCTAGTTGAAAAAACGTTGTCGGGTTCAAAAAAAGGTTATATCATCAAAGCTAAGACCGAAGGGGATCATGGGAAGACAAACAATTATGCTAATTTCATGCGTATTGCAGTTTCCCTTCCTGTGCACATTTTATGCATCATGGATTTGGCATGTTGTGAATCTAGATCGACCGACTTTGCTCTACTGTGCATTTTTACATGTCTATATGCAAATATAATACACATTTCGGAGTACCCAAAATCCTTTTCGGTCTAAGCTTCGATGATATGACCTTCTCGAACCCGACTACGTTTTTTCAATTATTCTCATACACAAATAGAGTAAAGAATGCACAACTTTGAAAATACAAACTAGCGGTATTGCCTATCCTTATAATGCATTTCTAATAGAAATTTAAACTAGGGATTAAGCCGTTCTTTTTATTTAAACTAGACGACATGACAGGCTCGCAGTCAGTCTTCACAATATACGAAGGACACGAGATAATGTTCCATGTGTCGTCGCTTCTTCCTTACACACCAGACAACCCCCAACAGGTACGACACAGTTAAATAACGGTTTTTGACATTAGAAGACGTAGTGGGAAAAGAGATACACCTATTTCAAAAAACGTTGTCGGGCGGAGATCTGAAATCTGAGACCAAAAGGAATTGTGGGTTGTAAGCTGTTAATTGTTTGTGGTTTTAATTAATAGTTCGCAAAAAGTTAATATCTTGATAAACTAACTTTGAGCAATGACCTGCACTGGCAAACTGTTTGGGTAAGTGTGTATTGAATTTTTAACGAGAAAACACTCAGTCCCCCACAATTCCAATCAGTCTCAGATTTCTGATTTCAGATATCCAACCGACAAATTGAAATAGGTGTATGATTTTTGAAATAGGTGTATGATAATAATAATAATGATAATAATAATAATAATAATAATAATGATAATAGTAATAATAATGATAATAATAATAATAACAATAATAAAATTAATTCTTATATAGTACATGAACCATAGGGAGATGCTCTCATGCGCTTTACAATGTAAAAACTGTTGCTAATTTACAATGATCATTTATATAAATAGTACAGATGAATTAGAAATAACTACTATGATAATGATAACCTTAAAGCAGTAAACCGATCATAGTAGAGTGAACACATTCTAACCACTAAGAAGCACAAGAACTACCCGCTGTGCCATTCCTTGATGACATCCTTTATGGGATGAAATTGAAGAGGGCATTGTATTTAATAGAGGAGGTTCAAAAATTCTGGGGAATCTGGAAGTCAAGATCAAAAATATGCTGGAAAATATTGGGATATGGTTCATGAAAGAAAAGGAATGAAAAGTGCAAAGTAGAGGGAATAAAAAAAAGGGAAAGAAAAAGAAGGGAAAATAGGAATTATGAAAGGGAAAAAAAGAAAGGAAAAAAAGGATAAGAAAAACAAGAAAAGAAAAGAAAAGAATCAAAAGGAAGGGACAAAGATAGGAAAGGAAAGAATGAAAGTAAGGAAAAATATGAAGGAAAGAGAAGAAATTAAAGGACAAGAAAGAAAAGAAAACTTTAAGAGTGAAAAGGAATGAAAGTAAAGGGAATGAAAGGAAGGGAAGGAAGAAAAAGAAAAGAGAAAAGGAAAGGAAATAAAAGATGAAGAGAAAAAGAAAAGAAAGGAGAGAAAAAATAGACCGTAACATTGCCACAAGTTTCAAATGGATTTACCTAATTTTTCTATTTTTAAAGGTTTCAAGATTTTAGATGAAGGTGACAGAGAACTCCCCCTAGACAACACTTTAATTAATAAATTAAAAGTAAGTAATGCTACTGTTTAATGCAGCTTGTTCATATAGAATAGAAGGTGAAGGTGTGTAGAACAATGTAGAAGATTTTAAGAGACGCTTGATGGTTATCACTGTGTTTTTATTCAGGTCAATTGGATCCAAAAAACAAATAAAGAAATGCTCAAGCAAGGGAATCTGCCTGAAGTTAAGGTTAGCTTATAAAGTAATAGAGCCTTTGCAACATCACAAGATGGCAGCCATGGCTGGAGGCAGGTACAGCTGAAGCTGGTATATGATACATACTGTATGAGAAAAAATTCAGTTTGACTTTCCTAGGGGGAAAATATTCTATTTTTGTGCCTCCTCCTCATGGCTGCTATTGTGTGATGATGCAAATCCTCCATGGCTATAATTTTGATGTACTTTTAATAAGTAAACATAAGACTTGTCATATTGACATTGACATGTTATTTCAATGCTTCAGGCCCCAACATCTGCATCTGAGTCCAAATACTGTCAAGTGCATTTAATTGGTTCTGTTGGCTTAGACTTCTCTTTCACATTGAAGTAAGGAATTTTATAAATCATATTCTTTTTGATTCATCTAATGCATCATTTATTCATCTTTATCTACTCATCTTTCTCTCCCATTTTCTTTCTCTTTTTTTCTTATTTTTTTCTTTCACATTCCATCCCTTCTTTCTTTTCATTTTTCCTTTTTTTCCCCCTTCCTTCCTTCTTTGTCCATTCCTTCCTTAAGCCTCATTTTCTCTTTCCTCTTTTATTTTCATTTCTCACTGCATCCTTTCTTTCTTTTCATTCCTCTTTAATTTCCATTTCATGTCTTCTTTTTTCCTTCCTTCTTTCATTTCTTCCTTGTCCATTCCTCCTTTTCCATTTTCTTTTTCCCTTCTTTTTTAACTAATCCCTTCACATTTTCTACTTTCTTTCTTTTCCGTTAACATAACAGTAGTTTCAGTTTTGTTAACATTTTCTTCTACGTACAGTTTATTAACGCCTCCCCATTTCAATTTTCTTCACCATACAGACCAACCCCTGATGAGCCCTTTATTTTAAAGTGCACCTGTGCAAACCCTAAGCTGAGGTTTGGTGAACCATTACAATCAGAAATCATTGTCCTGATAACTGACAGATATGGCAACAAGATAACCAAGGTTGGTCGAATGTTACACATTACAAACATATTATACTTGTCTTGTTTTCTCATTTTGGGTATTCCATGCTGTATAGAAGGTCATGAACTAGCAGTAGAGTCTAAGTGAATGTTTTACAAAGTGCTAAGCTATAAAGGGTAGTTTAATCTGGAGAATTTCACACTCTTAACAGAGCATTTTGCGATACCCAACTTTAAATGAAATCCCTGCTTAAAGTTTAGCATTGGTATTATCTGGCTACTGCTCAGTTTATTTATTTATCATTGCAGTTGAATTTATTAATTTATTTGTATTTATTATTTTACTTCAGCTCCCTCCAGGAGCCCTCAAGCTGTTCCATGTCTCTGCACCAGGTTTGAAGGAAAAAGAAGTTGGGATAGGTCTCTCTCAGGTATGTATGATAAATGAATGGGTGAGTGAATGAGTGAATGAGATGAGATGAATGACTAAATATATCTTAGGTCTCTCATGTATGTATGATAAATGAATGAGTGAATGAATGAGATGAGATGAATGACTAAATATATCTTAGGTCTCTCATGTATATATTATGATAAATGGATGAGTGAATAAGATGAGACAGATGACAAAATATATCTTAGGTATCTCATGTATTTATGATAAATGGATGAGGGAATAAGATGAGACAGATGACAAAATATATCTTAGGTATCTCACGGATTATGATAAATGGATGAGTAAATGAGATGAGATGAATGATTAAATGAACCTTATGAATGAAGATGTGAATGAATAAGGAATGCTTGTTGTCCATTTGGTTTTGTAAATAGAGTGGTTCAATAGTGATCAAGAACATCCAGTTTGAAAGTGGCTCTCTTGGACCCAAAGAACTAACCATCCAATGGGAGAAGCTCAAATACTACCTGCGATTAGAGGTAAGCAAACTATATTTTACCACAATTATTGTGAACTTTCGCTTTCTGATTGGTCAAGAGCTGGGGGAAATCATGGGCGTGCTCGAAACCGTTTTTCTTTCAATTTTTTCCCTTGTTTCTGTTGTAAAATACACCGTTTTCTCAAGATTGCGTGGGCATCCAATCTTGACAAGTCACAAACTGAAAAACGCAAATTGAGAAGATCCGAGAAGTCCGTGTTATGTAATTTTAAAGAGGAGATTAATCAATGTTATGAATCCTATAGAAAATTTTCATAGCAATACATCATTAATACTCGTGTTCGGGTATCCTGGCCCGTCAAGTTTCTTAAGTTTGGATGCACATGCAACCTTGAGAAAACAGTTTATATTGTAAATTTTCTGTCAAGAAACAATTTCCTCTTGAGTTCACAACATTTTGACTGCTAGATGATGAAAATTGTGGTAAAAAAGAGAACACACCATGGAAAACTGGAGGAAATATTAAATGCTGCATGTATTTGCGGGTAAATTAATTGATATATGGTATAATTACCTCCAGCTATAGCTCAAAATAATGGCTCGTCTAACAGTAATTCTAAAAAACTAATGATCTTTAATTTGCTTTTTATTGAAGGTCGTTGCTGGAGTCCCTGCAAAACTAGCCCTTGTAAATGTCAATACGACAGAGGTGAGAAATGTTTTTTGTGTTTTTCATGGTGTCCTGGCCTATAACTGTGCTAGTAATAAATAGTTATCTATTTTTTAATGGTAATATAACTAATCTTACAGTTGTCTTACTTATGGCCCTCTGGAAAAGTACTACATAGAAATGAACAAAAGAAGGGGTGGATGGATTTTTTTTGGTGTGTGTGTTTGTATAGATAGTAACTAAATAAACAAAACAAATTATAACTCTTGACTTTGAAAAGTTAGACATACTGAATTATCTGATTATCGCTGTTAAAATGTGACAGCCAAACCTGCCTGAACTACAACTGCAGGAACGTACACTTATCAAAACCTTATGATTGATAAGTAATGATAAGACTTTTGTTTCCAGCCTCTCTCTGTCTACAACAACACAGCCATCCCAGTACCACTTGTCGTCCAGTTGTGTGATGAAATGGGGAATGCTGCAGCTGAAGCAGACATTAAAGTTGTATTAAACACTGACAAGGGTGTTAAGGTAATGTTGCTGAGCCTATTTTTCATGTGAAACGTAATTTAGTGTGAGATTTCTTGTTTAATAATAATAAAAATAACAAAGTTTAAGCAGGAGGCTCACATCACCAAGGTGTTTTTCAGAGAGGTCCTGTTTTCAGTCTTTTTTTTTTTTTTTTCCCCCCATCAACTTTCTTTATTTCAGTCTTCAGTAATAAATTTTGAGATCTCATGCTCGTTTTTCCTCAGGGTTAGCCACAGCTTTGTGAAGAATATTCATGTGTTCCACTGAAGGTCTGTGGAACCTAAATCAAGGTGATAATAAGTTAGATCCTTATTTTTTTCTATTGACAGCTGACACCAAATGCTTTACAACAAAAGACCAATGCAAAAGGGCAAGCAAGCTTTGGTCAACCAGTGGTTAGTGCTCCAAGGTAAAAGCTGAGTAGATCAATACTATTTCAGACCACATATCATTCCCTAGAGTATCATTTCTTCTTTTAGCAGTTGCACATGAGAAGACTCAAATATTGATACAACTCAAACAGAATTTTATTCTCAGAAAAATGACACAGTTGTGGTCTGAAATTGGAATTCCAAGCATTAATAATAATAATAATTATTATTATTATTATTATTATGCATATCAAGTTCTGTCGTTCCCATTGTAGGGGCGTGTATGGTATCCGTATCAAGGCATTATGTCAAGGCAGATCCCATCTTGAAGCTCCTGTCATAAATCTCAGGTAAAGGTACTTTGTTCTGTAGCAAGCGAGTTTTTGCATGCATTCAAGTTTAAGTGAATGAATACAGTGTGTTTGCATATATGTGAATGCATACATGTATGCATGTGTAAAGCCTTATGCCACTTATGGCACTATTAAATATGATGATGAGTTGAACAGTATGTTTTAAATATTAGTTCATATAGGCATGTGGGGGGGAGGGGGTTTAGCGAATAAATAAAATGGGTAAGGGATACCCCTTATACAAAGAATTAATAGAATGCAAAATAATATTCATAATGAATTCATTATTATTCAATTATTCATTATGAAATTGTAATAAATCACGATACTTATCCCTTTGTCTCATGATTGACGGTCAATATTGATCCTTGATTGGAAATTGTGTTTACTCTTATGAACAGATTGGAGCCTGATCCATCAAAGCCTGTCAAACTCAATGTTACCTTCAACAAAAATGCACCTTGTCAAGTGGGAGAACTATTACCAGGTACCTACATGTATTAAAAATTGTGATAATTAGGAGACTCTAGATAATACTCATACTCCTGAAGTAGCTCAAGAAGATTATTTCATCAAGACGGTTGGCTGAATGAGGAAATAGAAAATGTGTGTGCGTGCTGTGTGCAGTTATTAAGCACTTTGAGGTTGGCAGAACACCAGAGAAGTGTTAGGAGAAGCATGACCTGTAGTGGAGTGCTTTTCAACACTTCTCAAGTGTTCTGCCAATCCTCAAGTGCTTTATAACTCCACACAGCACAGCAAGTTTTTTTATTCATTTGTTAAAATGCAAGGGCACGTGTGTACTGTATGCTCCCATAAAGCACATGCTCACAGCCAATCAGAATGCAAGATTTATAACAGTCATTTTATAATATTCAATATTCTTATTTTCAAAATTTCAAAAGGGTGTGGCTTGTCGCCCAATCAAGCCCCCCTTCCAGATCTACCCTTGTACCTATAATACAGCCTGATTTTGAAATAATAGCATCTTCTCCTTGGTAATCTTCTGCATGCATTCATATATAAGTACTTTTCAAAAACATGCTGAGTTTAAGGGTTTATCGGTTTGTTATTCACAGTTGTGTCTGCCCATGTTGTTGCTGAAGATGACAGCATTCTAAAGGCAGCCAGTGCAAAGGATGTTGTGCTCAAGATATGGCACACTAAGGATGGTCCACCCTCTGAGAAACCACCTCCAAGGGTAAGACTTTATTTTATTTCCATATCATTAAAATACTAAATGAAGAAATAYATGAATGTATGGATGAAAATCCCTCTGGGTGGACCACCCTCTGAGAAACCACCTCCAAGGGTTAGACTTTATTTTATTTCCATTCATTGAAATACTAAATGAAGAAATATATGAATGTATGGATGAAAATCCCTCTGGGTATCATCCTCTCCTGAGATTTGTAGGAATTAAACCAATAAAGATTCTCTAATGCTGGTACTCATAGCCAGTTAATGCAGGAGTTTCACTGTCAGGATGCTGGGTCACTATAGGATATCATCATGATACTTTTTCCCAGTTATCCCTTCCACTCTTTTTCTTCCCTCCTGTGCCCCAAATAAAGTACTAAGTTGTTGATATATTCTCAGGCTACCACCTTGTATCCATCACGGAAGGCAGCAGGAGACAAAGAAGGAGAATTCTACTTCAGGTTTGATTAAATGTCTTTACAATATCAACAAATAGTGGAAAGCTTGTTTGGTGATGAGTACAAGTGCATTACAAGTGCATTGTCTCATACTGGGGTCAAGGGTTCATTGATTGGACCTCCCATTGTAGAGTATGCAAGTAGAGTAGAGTATGGTGTATATTGTTTCCTTCTTGTGCTATTTCTGGGGTACTATGTTTTTTTCCTTAACAAAATCCACCACTGCTTAAAAAAGGACAATGTGTCATGGGAAGCATGGGTGGCTTAGCGGTGAGAGCACTTGCCTCTCACAAATGCGACCCCGGTTTGACTCCTGACAAGTTTGGTGTTGTATGTGAAGAAGATGAGCCACTGTTAATTCCATTATTATTATCATTATTATTATTATTATATTATATTATTATTATTAAAATGGCGTCTTATCATTGGCTCTTTCATATATGTAAGCAACATATTATCCTTTAAATCTCAAAACAAAATCTACTTCAGTTTGTATATTTCTTTAATACATATATATTCACATATATATTCATGTATTCTAACCTATTTATGGCTGTCTGGTTTTATTAGAGATCTAAAGGTCCCTGATGTTTCTGGTCCTCACTGCATGGTGGTCCAGTATGGCCCTGGAGGTGCCCTGTCCTTGACAAGTAAAATGGTAATTTTACAGAGACTTCTAATTCAGAATTCATTCACTAGTTGCTTGGGTTCACTTATTTATTAGTTTGCTGCTGTTAGAACAATAATTTGGACATTTGAATTTATTTATTTATTTTATTCAATACTTTAACAGGAACATCTAATTTAGCACAGGCTGGCTTAAATAGAGTCGTGAGGAGTAAATGCTGATTTCTGCATGCACTTCATGAGAGTAATAGTCAGACCTCTTTAGCTAAAATTGGGCCAGATGTTTTCCATTTTCAGACCATGTGTCATTCTCTTGTCATTAACACTCTCCATTCGAGTTGTATCCATATTAATGTGTATAGGTGGACATAATGTTTATAAATATTGCCATTATGATTGATGTTATTGTGCCAGCCATTTTAACACTAGGTTTTGTCACTTTGCTTTGATTGGATTGTCCAATAGATTTCTGGTTTATTTAAATAACATTTAGCCAAAACAAATTTCAACATCAACCTTTAAACAAAGATGGAATGACATGCTCTGAAATGGACAAAACATTTTGTCCATGCTAAGAAGATGTATTTGTAGAAGTCAGCAAGAAAAAATGGCTATAATTGCAATTGTGCTATTGCAGATAACTTTTACAGCCCAAGCTGGACCCCCTGTCAGACTAGAACCTGAATCTGTCCCTCCAACGCCGACTGTATCCAACACTAGTAGAATTACTGGCCGATGTCTGGTTAAGACACTCAAGTTGCAGTTAAAGGTACACTAAAGGGTCACTACTGACAGCAGAGAGTAAAACTTTTCTGAGTTCTAGTGATATTTGATATTATTTTTATTTTATTTTTCTTTTATTTATTTATTTTCATTTTGCATTTGATATTTTTATTTTATTCTCTCTATTTCATTACACATACCAAACGCATAATTTATTACTACTATACTATGTCTATCCTTTGCCTACATATTTACAGTGTTTAACTTACCTACGCTCTGGGATCCTCACGAGTACCCTACATTTCATATTCTGGCTGCTTAACCAGTGTGGTTGGTCCTTGTAGTGTAGTGGTTAACACATCGGACTAGAATACTGAAGATGTGGGTTCGATTCCAGCCAAGGGCATATTTTTCTCTTATTCTCTCTGAGTTCATAGATGTTGTATGCACCTGGTGGCTAGATAGCACAGTCGTAATGTACCTCTCAGTACTTAGAATTTAATCTTTTTGCATTTTCTTACCTTTAGGATAAATATGATAACCTGTCTGGAGAGAAATTACAAGGAAAAGTGACCATCAAGGTCATAAGCATAATCGACGGCATTGATGAGATTCCATCACTGGCCAATGCAAGCCGTAACAATCAAATAGAGATTCCCTTGGTCAAAGGAACAGCTACTGTTCAAAACCTGTACATACAAGAAAACACAAATGGCAAGGATGGTCAAGAGTATGTGCTGAACTTCCAGGCTGTCCTGCCGTCCAAAGCTACACCTCATCCTGTTCCTCCTTTTACCCTGGCATTCTTGTTTTATAATGGTTAGTGTCTGGGACATGAGGATTTTTCTCTCCCTGGTTTCTTTATGGTTTCTTTATGTTTTATTTGCTTTATTATAATAATGAAATGGTAAGAGGTGGCAGAGGCAGACTTAGAAAAGGTATTCAGAGGATGTGCCTCCTCCCCCCCCCTCTCACCCCCGAATAAATGTATGTCCTGGTCATAAATTGTGCAGGCCCATCTCTAGAACCTTGTAAGGGAAGGTTCATTTTTCTACCAATCTAGCAATGGGCCTGTCATGTCCCCTCCGCCCTCCTAAAATAATTCTGCATCTTTTCTGAATGAGGAGATGTTTTACTACATTTGGGTGTGACTAAAGGGGTACTTGCATCAGATATGGTTGGAATGTTTTAATCTAGACCGTTATGGAGGTTCTCTATTTTCATTACAGATGTTCGTAAGCAACAACAAATGGCTCAGCTCACCAAAGAAAGAGATAACTTGTTTGAGACCATCCGTACCTACAGGTCATTGTTTGACACCACGCGACAACTTATCCAGGAAATGAGAGGTATAATAAGAATAATGGCCACATCTGATGAATAAATAAATACATCTCCCATTCTGCAAATTCTCTTGAACTTTATAATGATTGCATACTGTGTATTTTCTATTTCTTCATTATTTTAACTTTACTTGATAATGACATCTGACAATGCCGAAATGTCGTAACCTTTTTGCTTGTTTGTTTTCTTAATAAATTTCATTATTTTTACTATTCATCTTTTAGTTAAATGTTGCTATTGTGTTGCAGCTTTAGTAATTGCTGTGCAGTACATATTTGTTACAATTACTCTATTATTTTAGTGTCTGTACATGAGGCAGCCCAAGAAGAACAGAAATTAAAAGCAGAACTGAAGAAACATAATGTTGCCGAACAGCACTTAGGATCAGTAAGTCTACTTTAAATTGCACGTCATATATCTGTGAAACAATAATGCAATAATGACACAAGATAACATGATGTTGGCAGATTTTAATATATCGTTTCCTTCTCAACAGGTAAGGGGTGTTGAGTCGTACCTAGCAACTGTTGTCAAAAAGAGAGACGAATTGGCTAAAGCTCCCAGGAGACAGTGTAATCTGAACCCTGGGCCAAGAGGTGACCCTGAAATACTTGGAAAGGTAGGGCATGCAATGTAAAATAAAAATTCTAGTAAATGGTATATGAGTAAATTGCCTATAAGGCATCACAAGGCTCCAAGAAGGGAGTTTGGTAGGTTGACAGTAGGGGTGTTGGTAGGGTGTAAGTAGGTTGACAGTAGGGGTGTTAGTAGGGTGTAAGTAGGTTGGCAGTAATCTAGCACTAATGCTAGACATTTAGTGAATTCAAGGTCATCTTTTAGTTTAAGGACTTTTCCATCTTTCATGACAACCTGTATAACATTATCATTAGGTGGCTCACTTGGCTCAAGTAGCAGATGATGATGTTGCTCGCGTTCTGTCCTGGCACATGGCTAGTGATATGGACTGTGTTGTCACACTTACAACTGCCAAGGTAAGTAAAAAAGATTTGTTAAAAACGATGATCTGTCATCATTATCATTACCAGTCATCATCATCATGTATCATCACCATCATCATGCATCATCATCATGTATCATCATCATCATGCATCATCATCATGGATCATTATCATCATAGTCATCATCACTTATCATGTATCGTCATCATGTATCATCATCATCATCATGTATCATCATCATCATCATGGATCATCATCTTTATTATCATCATCATTATGTATCATCATCATCATGTATCATGAACACTTGCCTGATTTCTTAATCTCAACTTTAAGGAGCACTTTTGAATCAATACAATAGCTTCTCATCCTTCTCTGTATGTGAAATCTCTTGAGTTTTTATTCATACTATAATGCTTACAGGCAAAAGAAGTATACCGTGACTCCAATGGACAACAACAAGTGCTCCCTCTAGACTCCATCTATAAACAACGACTTCCTGAATGGAACAGGTATTGAGAATAAGATTGTTTGAGTCATATACACATTCATGTGATTTCTCATGTGCAACTGTTAAAAAAAGAAATAATACACTAGGGAATGACACGTCCTTTGAAATGGATTAAGTCTATTGACAGTGACTTGGATTCAAGTTTTGACCAAACTACAATTTTACCCACAGACCCCTCCCTCACATCAGAAATGGTCCACGTAACTACAACCCACCAGGAAATCCAGTGTATGCTCGTGACAAGCTGATATTTCCTGCTGAAGCTGCTAATTGTAAAATAGGTTTGTAACTAATATGCATGTAACATGCCAAAAGAGAAGATTTGACAAAAGTTAGAACAAAAATGTGGAGTCTTTGGGGAACGAATAGTGGGCCTTGTGAAGGAGCACATATTGTATAAAGCCCACACAGATCAGATTGAAGTGAATAGCATTATTTTATTAGAGATTGGAGTGAGTTAGACCAAAAATATCTATGTCAAAGCTGAGAATGATTTTGTATTTGGTTTACAAACTTCTCCTTGGTTACTGCAGATTTCTGTTGTGTTTTCCTCATTAATTATTCATGATACAAAAATTATGATTATTAAATCTGTCATTGTGTTATTAACAGTGTTTGGCATGCTTCTTGGTGATACTATTATCTTAGATGACCTTGACTGTGCCAATAAATACAGACAAGAGGTAAGTTACTCCCAAATACTAAAATCGTCCTTGTTTTACAAGGGTAGCACATAACAGCAAACCTTTGGCTCTCATTACATGATCAGATCAAATTGGAATTTAAAAGGGAGGAAAACTGTAGAACCCGGAGAAAAACCCTTTGAAGCACACGAGAGAACCAAGTAGTAGCAACTCTACTCTCATATAATTACACCAAGTCAAGGAATCGAATCCATTGCACTCTCACCACTACGCCCATTACTTTACAATCTACAACAGTAGTCTCTGTCAAGGAACAATTTGTCAACCTTGAAATTTTGTCTTGTTAGGTTGTAAAGTATACCCATTGTCCTACGATATTAACAAGATCAGGGGATAGAATCCGCAGTAATGGTTAGTATGTTGTCAGTCTGTCAGTGGTGATGTATCTGTACCCTGCCTTTTTACAAGCAGGCAGATCCAGGGGAGGGGTGCGCACCCCTCCCAGGTTCCACTTTGTGCCCTTACTTTGAAGATAACCAATACTGTTTTTTCCTTTGATTCTAAGGGGTGCACCCTCCCTGGGTTAACTTTGTGCGCAGCACCCCTCCCTGAACAAAATCCTGGATCCCCCCTGACAAAGGAGGGACTAACATCCTTATTCACATGTGAAACTCATTGCTGTACTCCCAATTGTCTGCCCTTGCAGTTTCTGTCAATTCAGAGTTGACCCTTTTTCATTTACTATTACAGACCTTGTATCATTCTCTTGTGAATAAGATTCTTTGTCTGAGTTGTATCCATATTCATGTGTCTTTTCCTGCTTAACCGTTAAGCAAAGAAATAATACTCTAGGGAATTACACATGGTCGGAAATGGGAAAACATGCCCGAGGTAAAAGGGTCTAAATTATATAAGAAACCTCTTGTCTTACTTACTACCTAGATTTCATTTCTTTTGTAATTATAATTATTATTGTTCTAGGAAAATTTGGAGGATTGCAAAACAAAGCACCTGTGTTAGAGAGAATGCGTGGAGCTGTTTTTGCAGCACCAGTACCTACTTCTTACAGCACTCTCTCCACACAAATCGGTAAGAGATAATCAACAGACATTGTTGGGACAAATGCCTCTTAGCCCATAGCCCCAATCCTCTTGATTAGTCACACAATCAATGTGATGTGGCTCATGTCCAGCCATTGAGCAGCCATTATTTTTATCCCTGTGAGGTAATAACAGTAACTTGTGTCTTGCAGAACAATTACAAGCATACAAACAAGCTCAAATAAAACACCAGCAGGCCAAGTCTGATTTGGAGGTAAGGTCAACAAATTAGGGAAAATAAAGGTATCGTGGTCATAGTCATGCTGATTGTCATCAGGCAAAAAAGGGTAACCTTTGTAACTTTTTCGAATTTTTTGGCTTAAATTTCTTTAAATTGGCTAAGCAGAGCCTTGTAAACCAAATAGATGGAACTAGCGAAAATAAGAGAAAATGTGACAAACATTGAAAGAGTTCTTATTGAATTGAATCCCTTTGTTATATGTTGTAATCAACAATCAATCAACACGGCTCTCTGGAAGAGCATTTTTATGAAGAGATTCCGTATTGAAATAAAGGTTATGTATGTATGTATGTATGTCTGTCTGTCTGTATGTATGTAAGGGAGCAGATTATTGTACCATTTCCTTGTATTACTAAGATATTAATTTTATATAAAACAGAATCCCTTTTTTATAGTGGGTTATAAGAAATTATATTACATATAATGTACAATATATAATCAATATACAATTCGCACAGCTCCAGTTGCAACAAGGTCAAACTGATCAAATGAAAATCAAGCATAGAGAATGTCATGATGCAGAAACCCAACTGCGTATGATTGAAGAACGCTTGGGAATGACTCCAACACAGTACGACATGCCTGCAAGCCCAGCTACCATGCTGCACACAGAACTAAGCACCCCTCTGAGCAGAAGTGCTATAGCTAACGGAAGAATACAGGAGTCCAGTTCACCTGTGCTTAATGGTACGGCAAGTAATACAAGGACCAGGAGAGCCTCCCCTCTGAACTCTGAAGAACCAAGAAGCAGCAAGAGGATTAGGAAATCATGATGAAATATTTTAATGTCTATCGATGCCTTCTCTCTTTCGTCACACTTCTAGTAGAGATCAAATTCTATTCATACCATTTGTGCTGATCATTATTTTTAAGAAAATTGTTATTTTTTTCTGGATTTGAAGATCATTTAAGCACTGTAATATAAACTGACATAATCTGGCATTTGTCTTGTAACGTTAATATTTGGTCTCATTGAAGTTGCAGAGTAAAGAGAATGATTGCTTATGTTACCGTATTCATCTAGGCATTATCATGATTGATATAAATCAATGTTGAATCACTGTAATTACATAGTACCCTGGGTGCCAGAGGCCGTGCGGGGCTTGGGGGCGAGAGAGAGAGGGAGGAGGGGGCCCTCCTCCTCCCTCTCTCTCTCTCTCGCCCYCAAGCCCCACACGGCCTCTGGCACCCAGGGTAATTACATAGCTATTACATTTTCATTTTCTTTGTTGCCTTTATACATATTTATGGCAAGTTAGACTCTTTTTAGGTAAAAATATCAACATTGATTTCTTGTACATTTAACGATGAATCTTTAGTATATCTCAGTAAACTTGATATACCATTTCTACATGCGTATCTAAGTGATCTTGTTTGCAGTAGCTTGTTATTCACTTGGTTAGTGTCTCTGTTCGTAGATGGGGGGGGAGGGTTTGAGAAAAGCGAAGGCAGGTATCTTGAAATATTTGAGATTCAGTGATAATTATTTATAGCACAAATTTTTGCCAATTTACACCAGCTTTGCAAAAATTCTTTTTTTTTATTATTTTTATTAGAGTGCATTACCATATATTCGTGAAAAAGTTAACAAACAAAATTGTATGAATTTGTGCAAAGTCTTGTCAGTCTACAGTCGCTTTTTTTTTTACTCCGACGAAGGACTAGCGTCCGAAACGTCAGTAAGTTTTTTCATCTTTTCACGGTGTATAATTTACCTTTTCTCATTACTATTTCATTAGAAACACCGACGCAGCTCACACTAGTTTTTAGCTAGTCATCTTTTGGTCTACAGTCTACTAAACTTACTAATTCTTGTAAATTTGTGCAAAGTTTTTAAGGATATAATTATGGTTTGCACTCTACTTTTCCTTAACTTTATATTTTTTAAAGGGAAATGGAAGATGCTGCTTTTATCAACTAATAAAAGCAAAATGATGATTAGAGACTGATATAAAGTAAAACTATTTACATTTCTTTATTAGATCTGTTTACATTACTTGATACAAAATTTGATGGTATGCATCTTTTACAAAAGAATATAAATAATAACAGATTGAAGATCTTGTTACTCTGAGTTCAGAGGAAATCAGTTGTTTTTGTCCTATTTTATTTGTCTTTTCCAATGCCATATTTTTCTTTCATTTTTTCAAGTTCTTGTTTCTTCTTTTCCTTGTCCAACTTTTGGAAGGCCTAAATTGACAAAATAATATACTACAATTAGCTACTTTTCTCCTTTAGTTACCAGAGTATGCATTTCCAGTGAAGACTTGTCTCTAAGTCTGATTGGTGACCATATCAAATTCTCTACACTGGAGGGGAGGGGTATGGAGTGACTGCACTTACTCAACTATGCTAGCTTTATTTGCTTCCTCTGAGAGAATAAGAACCTTTGTTTATGCCTGGGCAAAGTCAACCCGAGGTACTGAATGCAAGGGTATCAGGGACATCACATTCCCATGGGAATGAAAACATTTTATTTTTCATGGTTAACTCAAGGTGAAGAAAGGGAAAATAAATTGTTCCAGCCTAGTTTCCAAGTTTGATAAACAGGATGAATTGTGATGGCTAAGCTTTGGTACAAACAACACCACATAAAGAAGGTGGAGGAAAGATGTTTGTACTTAGGCTATACCACATGCACCAGGTTGGCTACCTCAGAAAGGATAACTATAGCTGGTGTATAAATACAATGACATACCTTATTGGACTGATAATACAAGACCACCAAGTATCTGTTACAGACGTTGAACCCTGATAGATGATCGCATGCATTTTTTGCATCAAAGATATCTTCATATACTACAAATGCCGTCCCTCTTGTGTCTGGTGCATTGCCACTAAAACATAAAACCAGGCAAATATTTAATGTTAGCTTCCTACAAAAGGACTACGGGCCAAACTTGATATCTCCTTTACTCAGGGTTAGCCTTAGTTTTGTTTACAATATTCATGTGTTCCAGTGAAGGTCAATGATAATCTTTAATTTGTTAGAGCAGGCTGATTATTTTGGCGGCTTTGGCTGATGTGGGCCTGCTTTCACTCACACTCACTACCACTACATTTACTATTTTATGTACACAACTCACATGTTGATTTTTATAGAGGGAGGAAAGCCAAAGAAGCCTGAGAAAAACGCTTGTGTGAGGGAGAAAACACATTAAAGAAACTTAATTCACATGTGTCATCTGCAGGGCTCGAACCAGCGACCCAACCTGTTGGAGTCACATCAGTGAAAGACGACACACTAGCAATGTATGGCACCCGTGGGATTTCAAAGTGTTTGTATTGTTGAAGTTGTGCATTCCATACTTTACTATTGGTATTTGTGAATATACTGACACTAAATTAAGGCTAACCCTGAGTAAATGAGTCTGTTACCAAGGCACATATCTACATTGTGTGCACTATGATAGACTAACAAGATACAATACTTACAATCTAATCTGTCTGATTGCTCCATACTTTCCGAATATATCATACATCTCCTCAGCTGTTATCTTGTATGGGAGATTTCTGGAATCAAAACAAATTGGTATTTGAAAAACAAACTCTAAGGCAAACTCTATCAACAATATTGATCCAAATTAAGACATATTTTTATATACCGTATGATATTCTTAAATTCATTCATATATACATCAAAACTTAGACAAAAGCTCAAAACTCACCTTACGTATAGAATTCTATTAACTTCAGGCGGCAGGCGAACCTTTAAAACATCAAAGGAAAGAGAAAATGTCAATGAGAAAAATAGTCTTTAGACAAATCGTTCACATGTGGACCAAGAACTGCTTCTTTAGAACCAATTTACAGCCTTATCTATCAATTTAAAGGCGAATCTGTAGCTTCTACACAAGGTATGAGCATATGTGAACTGCTTTTTATATTTCTGAGTAAGAGAGAACCAAGATAGAGGGTAAAATACTTCATGATTTTACTTACATTCGCCTTTCTCTGACTTTGCATCGCCATCTTGTCTTCGTCTTCGATGCGTCATAGGGATCGCTAAGCCTTATGGGTGATTATTAAAATATCACAGGAAGCCCAAAAATACCTTATCATTATAAAAAGATTTTTTTGTTCAAAAACTAGAACTAAAAGCTTTCAAATAAGACCAGAAAAAGAACCTATTTTATTATTTAACTCTTATTTTATTTAGTAGTAATAGCTCCGTAAACCCTACTTGAATTTTTCTTTAGAAAAATCTGTAGCCCATTCCTTATCAACTAGATAGGATTATTTCATGACCTCTCCTTTGATACCTTTCCAAAAAATTTTTTTCTTAGAATTGTCCATTCCATTACCGAAGCTCCTCTGTATAAGCATAGTTAATAACTATGGTATAAAGCATGGTACAAGTAAAAGTATATATAGCATCGTATGGACTTCCCGTTGCAAAGGATTATGGTCTAGGAGGAAGGGCATCAACAGTCRACATCATCAAACATGGCGGCGGTGAACGGAGAGGGCAAATTTGTAGAAAAAGTTGAGATCAAGGAAAATCAAAATGATTCAGATCAAACAGAAATTTCCCTATCTCCAGATCTAGCTGCTGAAGAAGCAAAAAGAGAAGAAATTAGAGCCAAAATTCGCTCGGTAAGTGAAGCTTGATTGAAAAAAATTTTCTACACGACTTCAAGTTGAAGAGAGAGCGATCGAAAATGAAGAGAGTCGCGGTCTATAAATAACTGCTTGACACGTGTGCGATACTCATTTGTGGTTTAATCTTTTTTTCTCTCACTGTTATATTTCTGAAACTTTCATTCAAACTTTGTTTCGGGCCAATCAAAATAAGGTTGTAATATTTTCAAGATATTTGAATCACAAAAATTAATTTTGAATCCTTATTTAAATAGTATTTCTTTTTCCAAGTTTCTTGCGTTATTTATTTATTTTTTCTCCTAAAAATTGATAACTGATATGTTTATATCATAGGTTCATAGTTAAAATGATTCATATTAAACAGTACATAATTTAAAAAGCAAAATTTATCGCAATAACACGTAGCTTAAAAAAATAGATTACGATTAGTCATGTGATGCCCAATATATTTGAGATCGCGATAAATATTATAAATTAAAAATTATTTATTTCATGATGTCATCCACAAATTACCTCAAATATGGAATTATAGTTCAGTTTACAGAAAACCTAAGCAAGAAAAAGAAGTCTTTTCAATTTTTTTTAATACTACRTGGACGTTCAAAAATAATGAATGTATAATACGTATTAATTGAAATCTCATCATAAAGTTGTTTAAGTAAAGTATTGATTTAATCTTCGTGGAGTTTATAATGTTTTATCATTTATTTCTATTTGCTTTTTGGTTTGGTTCTTAATAACTGGTAGATTTTATGCATGTATATTGGATCTTTATACCAGTCTTGACATGGCTTATAGGTTGGTATCAATAGATATCATTTTTTGCTCTTGCTTTGAATTTCTCACCAACTGTATGGCATGTCTTAAATATAAATGTAAAAAGATGATAGCACTTGAAGGACAGCTATGTTATTGTAAGCTGATAATGAGATTCATAAGATTTATTCGATCAGCTGATTGATACCAGAGTTAATACTTGGTATACTTGATATATAAAACATGTTATAATATATACCTGATTGATCACTCAGATGAAGGACTAATGTCCAAAATGTTAATTTAATTTTTAACTTTTTTTATACACTGTATAACTTAGAGATGCATCGCTCAAATCAAGAAATATTTTACCAATCAACTATTTACTTTATGCAGAACCAGTACTGAAAGTATTGT